GGGACCGGCAACGGGATCGCAACCCTCGGCATCGCGCCCGCACCTCGCTCAGCCAGTGAGTGGGAACCGGTCTGTATGTGAGATCCGAACCCTCGGCGGGAGCGCCACTGCACTCCCAAGCGGCCGGCCCTAGAATCTTCCCTTTTACCCCAAGTTTCAGCTCCTGATTAAAATTAACCTTCAATCTGCACCCCCAACTTAGCTCAGACATCCCCTAAATTTCCATCTAAGTACCATCATGCTTACTTAAGTACTGGACTCTACAGAAAACCCTTCTTTTTTTTGGTGGTAGTGGCTGGCCAGTTTGGGGATCCAAACCTGTGACCTTGGTATTACAAGGCTGTGCTCTAATCAACTAAGCTCACTGGCCAGCCCCCAATTTCATTTTTTGGCAGCAGGTCGGTATGGGGCAAAACACCCTTAACTTTATCTTCACTTTGTCCCAAACAACCCCACATTCATCACTCAGGTCTAACCCTGAAGTGTTCGCCCACATTCCCGTCCTGACCCTCACCTCTCCCCAAGGCCAGGTCTGGAAGCTTCCCCACCACTGTGGTTCCACAGCTTTCATCTAAATCTCAACTCAAGGGCTGGCCCATGGCTCACTCGGGAGAGTGTGGTGCTGATAACACCAAGGCCATGGGTTCGGATCCCATATAGGGATGGCCGGTTGGCTCACTGGCTGAGCGTGGTGCTGACAACACCAAGCCAAGGGTTAAGATCCCCTTACCGGTCATCTTTTAAAAAAATAAAAAATAAATAAAAATATGGGCCGGCCCGTGGCTCACTCGGGAGAGTGTGGTGCTGATAACACCAAGGCCACGGGTTCGGATCCCATATAGGGATGGCCGGTTAGCTCACTGGGTGAGCGTGGTGCTGACAACACCAAGTCAAGGGTTAAGATCCCCTTACCGGTCATCTTTATCAAAAAAATAAAAATAAAAATAAATAAATAAAATAAAAATAAAAATAAATAAATCTCAACTCAAGACCTGTCAACCTAGATCCCATTCTGGAACTTTCATCCCCAAATTTGGCCTTGGAACACTTACTTTACCCCCAACCCATTCCCAGAATCATGCTTCAACAAAATTCTACTACAAGACTAAAATATACCTTGGGGACCCTCACAACAACCAGAAATTTCATGCTCAAAACCAGCTCTGTTCTGCAACCCTTGCCCTTAGATCCAACACACTGGAAACTTCCTCTTCACCCCCACCTCCGCTCCAGATCTCCAATCCAAAAGACAACTCCAGAACCACCACCATATTTCAACTCAAGATCCTGAACCCAACATTCATTTCCAGAACTTTGACTTCAAACAGAACTATGGAGTCTTCACTATCACTTTCAATCCAGCTCAGTGTCCCCATCTTCCAATATCCCAGGTTTGGAATCTCCACAGCTCCAAGACATGGCTCAAGAACCTTCTAGTTCAACCGAGCTTCACAACATGGTCCCCAAACCTAACTTTAGAACTGCTGCTCCCAACCAAGCTCGAGAATTCTCAAACTTAGCCTCAGATTCAAATTCAGATTCAAGTTCTGACCCATGATCAGATTCGAGTTCAGGAGCTCCACCTGAGCAGAACTGCGGGTACCCCTTGGGATTCCTCATCCTCAACCCTGGAACCTAAACCCGCTCGTGCCTCACTTGGCTCGGGTGAACACTTCAGGGCTAGATTGGAGTGATGATTGTGGGGCTGTCTAGGACAAAAGCAAAGATGAAGTTAAGGGTTTTCTGTAGAGCCCAGAGCTCAAGTAGGCATGAGGGTACCTGGATGGAAATTTAGGAGACATTTGAGCTCAGTTGGGGGTGAAGACTGAATGTTAATTTTAATCACTCCTTGTTTCTGTGGGGTTTTGTCTGAGCATAGAATGTCTGCATGCACCACCACCAGCACTCACAGAGGGCAGTGTGGTCTGGAGGTCTGGCGCACCGGCTGTAGAGCCAGTCTGCTGTCTGGGGTTCACGTCCCAGCTTTGCCACTTGCTAGTTGTGATGTTTGGGATAAGCTACTTAATTTCTGCATGCCTCGGATGAGTTACTTGCATGTATTTTTCTTTCCTTTTTTAAAGATGACCAGTAAGGGGATTTTAACCCTTGGCTTGGTGTTGTCAGCACCACGCTCTCCCAAGTGAGCCACGGGCCAGCCTTGCATGTACTTTCTTTTTTTGTTTTTTAAAAAGATGACCGGGAAGGGGATCTTAACCCTTGACTTGGTGTTGTCAGCCCCACGCTCTCCCAAGTGGGCCACGGGCCAGCCTTGCATGTACTTTCTTTTTTTGTTTTTTAAAAAGATGACCGGGAAGGGGATCTTAACCCTTGACTTGGTGTTGTCAGCCCCACGCTCTCCCAAGTGGGCCACGGGCCAGCCTTGCATGTACTTTCTTTTTTTGTTTTTTAAAAAGATGACCGGGAAGGGGATCTTAACCCTTGACTTGGTGTTGTCAGCCCCACGCTCTCCCAAGTGGGCCACGGGCCAGCCTTGCATGTACTTTCTTTTTTTGTTTTTTAAAAAGATGACCGGGAAGGGGATCTTAACCCTTGACTTGGTGTTGTCAGCCCCACGCTCTCCCAAGTGGGCCACGGGCCAGCCTTGCATGTACTTTCTTTTTTTGTTTTTTAAAAAGATGACCGGGAAGGGGATCTTAACCCTTGACTTGGTGTTGTCAGCCCCACGCTCTCCCAAGTGGGCCACGGGCCAGCCTTGCATGTACTTTCTTTTTTTGTTTTTTAAAAAGATGACCGGGAAGGGGATCTTAACCCTTGACTTGGTGTTGTCAGCCCCACGCTCTCCCAAGTGGGCCACGGGCCAGCCTTGCATGTACTTTCTTTTTTTGTTTTTTAAAAAGATGACCGGGAAGGGGATCTTAACCCTTGACTTGGTGTTGTCAGCCCCACGCTCTCCCAAGTGGGCCACGGGCCAGCCTTGCATGTACTTTCTTTTTTTGTTTTTTAAAAAGATGACCGGGAAGGGGATCTTAACCCTTGACTTGGTGTTGTCAGCCCCACGCTCTCCCAAGTGGGCCACGGGCCAGCCTTGCATGTACTTTCTTTTTTTGTTTTTTAAAAAGATGACCGGGAAGGGGATCTTAACCCTTGACTTGGTGTTGTCAGCACCACGCTCACCCAGTGAGCGAACCGGCCATCCCTATGTGGGATCCGAACCCGGGGCCTTGGTGTTATCAGCACCGCACTCTCCCGAGTGAGCCACCGGGCCGGCCCCCCTGCATGTACTTTCTAAAATAACTTTAATTATACCTCTTGCTTATAGAATAGGCACGTAAGGTGCTTATTTAAACCTGACATAAGGACTCGATAAGCAAGAACTGGTGTTGTTATCGCCATGACCAATGATGAGATGATGATGATGATTATATGAATTCCCTCAATAATTCTATGAAGAAAGAACTATTATCCCCGTGGAACAGAAGAGGAAACTGAGGCTCACAGGAGGTCACACACAAAGGAAGCGGTCCACCAGGATCTGAATGGCGCCTGCCCTTGCCGCCGTCCTAGTGCGTGTGCGCCCGCGTGCCCGTGAGTGTCCCCGTGTCCCCCGCGGCTCCCCTGCCGGGCCGGCCCTTCCTGCCGCCAGGCGGCCCCGCGCCCCCCTGCCCTGGGCTTCCTGTGACCGCCTGTTTGTTTGCGAGCCCTGGTGGCGGTAGCGGCAGCGGCGGCGGCAGAAGGAGGGAAATCTTATTAATAATGCCCTGGCTCCAGCAGGAAACGGCCGTCAGACACGCTCGCCGCCTCCCTCCCTCGCCCAGCGGGCAGGAAAGGCAGGGACTGAGGCCAAGACCCGCCGAGAGACCGCGGCCAAGCGGCGGCTTGCTCAGGATCGGGCGGCCGGCGGGGGCCTCTCACCTGATGTCCGGGTAGTCCCGCACCAGCACCCCCACCTCCACCTGGATGCTGGGCGTGTCTTCCAGCTGCAGGACTTCGGCCAAATGGGGCACCACGGCGTCCAGCCACGAGGCCTGGGACTCCTGCAAGGGTGGGCCTGGGGCTCACACTCTGGCCCCAGTGTTCCCTCCAAACCCACCCTCCTTTCCCAAGCCTTGGCCTCGCCTGCTGTTGCCCCTCCTGGCCTCGGTTTTCCCATCTGTAAAACGGGGCAGAGGATAGACTGTGGAAGGAAGTTATCTGGAACTTTTGGAAATTTGAAGAAACGTCAATAATAAAATCTACTCCCAGTTTTGCAGATAATTTGGGACTCAGGGATACCCCTCAAAGCCCATTCCAAGTTTGCAAGATGTCACCATTGGGAGGAAACTGGATAAAGTGTACAAGGGAGCTCTCTGAATTCTTTCTTGCATGTGAATCTACAATTATCTCAAAAAAAAAAAAAAAAAATCAAGGACTGTGGGCTGGAAACTCCTGGAATAGCGAAGTGAGGTCCTTCCAGCCCTTCTAAGTACAAGTGGGTGCAAATAAGATCTAGTGATTTTAAATTCTCGGATTTGGAATTGTTAGCATCCCGAGTTTCGGCCGCATTTAGCTTCTGCATGCGCTCACAGGATGGCTAATGTTTATGGAGGGTTAGCTCTGTGCCGGGTGCTTCACAGGAACGAACTGATCTGATCCGCGCAACAGTGGATGGGGATCACGGTCTCTCTAACTGGCCAGCTGAGGATGCGCCCGGAGCCCGGCGCTGGCAGTGAGAGCCCATTTGCACGATTTCTACACGCAAAGGGCATGGGTCAGAATGCTATGGGCTGTTATCGGTTGGGTGAGGGTCTTATCCTAAGCCCTGCCCCGCCCCGGGCTTTGAGTCCTGGGATTCGCAGAAGCCACGGTCGCCCTGGTTTCCGAGAACCCCCCTTCCGCCCGCCGCGCTCGCCGCCGCACTGACCAGCCGCCTGAACAGCCTCTGCAGCTGCGCCGCGTCCTCCCGGAGCCTCCCGGCCACGCGGCTGCGGGTCCGCGCCGAGCGGCAGCGCAGGCGCCCGCGGAGCAGGGGCCGCACGTACTCGACCAGGGCCCGCCGGTGCAGCTCAGCCACCAGTGCCTGGGGCGCGGGGGAACGAAACCGGAGCGTGGGAGCCCCCCGCCCCCATCCACTCGCGCCCACTCTGGGCGCCCAACGGGAACCCCTCCCGCGCCCGCAAGGCGCCCAGCCCCAGCCCCCACTCCCGGCTGCCTTTCCGACTCCCCAACGGTACTCCCTGTCCTACCGGATGATGCTCTCTCGGGCCGCTAATCAGCCTGCGGACACCCCCTACAGACCCCCATCCCAGCCTCTCCCCATTCCCCAAGCTCCACCTCCAGAGGCCCCAACTCAGTCTGCACCCCGGCCTACAGCCCAGTACCCGCGGCACCTCCTGCAGACCCTGGGCAGGGCGCCCCCTCTCCCACCCTGAGCGAGCCGCTCCCCGCCTAGAAGGGGACTCTCCAGCCGGAGCGTTCTTGCTCTCCCCTCCTCCCCACTTTTGCACACCTCTCCCCTCACCCCTCACACAGGCCCACCTGGTAGGGCTCATCTTGCATCCTGCGCAGTGCCAGGGCCTGAGCGCCCAGCGTGCCCACAATGCCATCCAGGGCCTCTGGACTGCTCAGCCACTTCCGGCGCATCAGCTTGTTGAAGTGCGGCTGGGTGAGGCAGAATGGAAGGGAGGGAAAGGGCCATCGCTCTCCTCCCTTCCACCCTGTCTTCACTTAGGAATATCTTCCCTGCTGACCAAGGCTGTGGGGTGCTGGGGACAGAGACGGCCCCAGCCCTGCCCTCCTGGGGCTCACAGTCCAGAGGGAGAGAGAGACCGGTCCCCAGATAGCAAGGACCCAGAGGTAACAGGGCTGGGATGGGGAAGCCCAGGGGCTTAGGAAGCCCAGAGGGGATGCCTGACTCAGCACAGAGAGTCAAGGATGGCTTCCTGGAGGAGGGGACAGCAGAGCTGCGGTCCTGATGATAATCACTGTTAGCCAGGTGAGGGGTGGAGGGGGAGGTGGCTCAATCAGAGAGAAGAGCCAGTGTAAAGAAGGTTCAGATTTCAGATGGGCATGCTGGTCAGAGGACCAGAAAGAGGGTCCGTAGGGCTGTCAAGACCATCTGCATAATTCTCAGGGCCCAGTGCAAAATTAAAATGGGGGACTCTGGCTCAAAAGCTATTTAAAACTTTAAGACAGCAGAGCATTAAACCAAGCTTGGCCTTTTTTTTTTTTTTTTAAAGATGACCGGTAAGGGGATCTTAACCCTTGACTTGGTGTTGTCAGCACCACGCTCAGCCAGTGAGCGAACCGGCCATCCCTATGTGGGATCCGAACCCGGGGCCTTGGTGTTATCAGCACCGCACTCTCCCGAGTGAGCCACGGGCCGGCCCCAAGCTTGGCTTTTTGAAGTGGGGCAGGGAGCTGTGCGATTCAGAAGCCCATACTGGTGGTGGCTTATTCCAGGTATGTGAGAGGAGTGGAGAGATGAGGCTGGTCAGGTGGGCCACTCTCTGAGCCCTTTCTGTGGGCCTGTCCTTGGTGGATTGCCGGGCACCCATGAGAAAATGATGGGGGCACAGCAGAGAATGAAACAAACAAAACTCCATGCACAACATAATCATAAACTAGCCTGAGGACTCTGAACACTAATTCCTATATCAGACGATGTTAAGGAATTGTTGTTCATTTGTTAGGTATGAAAATGACATTGTTGCTTATATTTGTTTAATAAAGATTCCTTATCTCTTGGAGATACAGGTTGAAATATTGATGGATGAAATGATAGGATGTCTGGGATCTTTAAAAGAAATCATTGGAGAGGGAGGTGCAGGGAGAGAGGAAACAATATTGGCCAGGAGTTGATACTTGCTGGAGCTGGGCGATGTGGCCACACGGGTCATTCTGTCATTCTGCCTACTTTGGGGTATGTGTGTTTGAAATTTTTCAAAATAAAAAGTTATTTTACAAACATTCCAACCAATCCTTGCCTTTGAGGAGCTAACATTTCAGCGGGAGGATGCAGATTTAAAAAAAAAAAAGCAAAGGATATAGCATGGCAGGTGGCAGTAAGTACTTTGGAGACAAATATAGCAAGGAGTCAGGAGGGGGGTCTCAGGGGCTTTTTTTTTTTTTCTTTTTTGGTGGCTGGCTGGTAGGGGGCTTCTATTTTAAATGGCGTGATCATGGAAGGTCTCACTGGGAAGGTGACATTTGAATCAAGACTTCAGAGAGGTGAGAGAGGGAGCTATATGGCTATCAGAGGGAGAGCATTCCAGACAGAGGGAACAGCAAGTGCAAAGGCCCTGTTGTGTGAAGGGACAGCAGTGGGGATGGTTTGGCTGGAGTGGAGTAAGTAAGGGAAAATGTGGGAGGAGACGAGGTCTCAGAGGGAAGGCACAGATTGTGCAAGTCACTGGGGGCCAAAGTGAGGATTTTGGCTTTTGCTCTGAATGAGCTAGGAGTCATGGGATGGTTTTGAGCAGAAAAAGGACACGATCTGCTGTAAAACCTGGGTTAGGATGTCCTACAACCAGGGACTCACACACCTCTGTCTCACTGCCTGGTATTCTGGCCATCCTCCGCACGTACTCTCACCCATCTGGAATCTAGCCCCCTCAGAATGTACACAGAGGCCCAGAGATGGGTGAATGGCTCCAGTGTCTAGGACAGCCTTGGCAGGGATTTGTGGGGGGCTTCAGTGGGAAGGGGCTCCACCCAGATCCCAAGCCCCCCTCCTACTGCTTGCTCTCTGTCCTTCCCTGGGCCACATCCTCCCACTTCTTCCTTCCTGTACCCCCCTCCCCCCCCAAACATCCCAAGCATAGCCTAACCCCTCCACCCCCACCTGCTTCCCGAACACTGAGTCATGGGCTGAAGAGAACTTGGGGATTGAGGGGGGTGCTTCCCTGTCCTGGCATGGGCCCCACACCCAGCCCCCTGCCTCACTCACCTGCAACTCCTGGAACAGCAGGTCAGCCAGAACACGGTGGCAGAGCCGGGTCACACGGTCCAGAGCACTGGCCGAAGCTTCCCGGGCCGGCTCACTTTCAGGGGGCCCCACCCGGGCCAGGCGCTCAGCCAGAGCCCTGTGGGGATCAGTGGAACCAAAAGTCAAGGAGCCAATAAATTTCAGCCCACCTGCCCGGACCTGCCTCCCCTTAGGTGGGCTCTGTTTTGTGGAGTGCAGGGATGACAGGTCAGATGGGGAGCTTGGGAAAGTCAAGGGCTCTGGGGAAGGTCTCGGGGCAGAGAAATGTCGGGGAATTCATGGGAGGTTGATGGTGTCTGGGGTTTGGGGTGTCAGGGAGGATGTGAAATGTCAGGGTTCGGGGGATGTCTGGGAGCTGGGGGATGTCTGGGGGCATCTAGGGTATGTTGTGGGAGGGAAGGGTCTTTCTGGGTCTCAGTTTCCCTTGGTGCTTTCTGGGTGAGAATGGAGAGGCTTCTGTTCTCAAAGTCTGTGGTTCTGAATGTCTACAGTTCTAAAATTCTTCCCTTCTCACTTTCCATCACTGTAGCCCTCTATGCGCCTTTATTGTAGATGGAGAGTGACCTGATCTGTGCACTTTCTGCCCAAATCACAAATGCTGGACCCTCATCCCAGCAGACCCCCTTCTAGCAATGTACCTCCTCAAAGTCCCCTTGCTTATGAGAGATGACATATGTTCAGGGTTCTTCCCTGGAAAAGTGGGAGCAACTCTCCATCCACTAAGGACAGATTAAATAAACAACGGTACAGCCAAGCAGTGGAATATGGTTGGGATATGAAAAAGGAATGTGGCAACTCTTCATGACCTAACAGAAAGATTCCCAAGCTGATAGGGGGAGAGGGGCAGAAGTGTGCACAGTATTCTACCATTTGTGTTTTCAAAAGGGCCGGCCTGTGGCTCACTCGGGAGAGTGCGGTGCTGATAACACCAAGGCCACGGGTTCGGATCCCATATAGGGATGGTCGGTTCGCTCACTTGGGAGAGCGTGGTGCTGACAACACCAAGTCAAGGGGTTAGGATCCCCTTATCGGTTATCTTTAAAAAAAAAAAAAAAAAAAAAGAATGAGGAAGAGGAGGAAAGAAATATTATCTATGCACATAGTTAAATATTTATTTGTATTTGTACAAAATATGTATACAAGGGTACTTCAAAAAGTTCATGGATTGGAATCCACTAGAGGGCAAAAAAAAAAGTTCACTGAAAGATTCATATTATCTTTCAATTATATTTTTCCACAAACTTTCTGAAGAACCCTCATATGTGTACAGATGCATATACACACTTATTTACACCTATTTACTGGTGTGAAAAGATATAGAAGACACTAGTAATACTGGTTGCCCAAAGGTGGGGGGAAGATACCATGGGAAGGAGACTTTTCACTTTTGTATCTTTTGAATTTTTGAACCACATGAATGCACTACCTATTTTTTTTTTTTTTTTTAAAGATGACCGGTAAGGGGATCTTAGCCCTTGACTTGGTGTTGTCAGCACCACGCTCACCCAAGTGAGATGACCGGCCAGCTCTAAATGCATTACCTATTTTTAAAATGCAATTAAAAATAAGTTTAGGGCCGGCCCGGTGGCTCACTCGGGAGAGTGCGGTGCTGATAACACCAAGGCCACGGGTTCGGATCCTATATAGGGATGGCCGGTTTGCTCACTGGCTGAGCGTGGTGCTGACAACACCAAGCCAAGGGTTGAGATCCCCTTACCGGTCATTTTAAAAAAAAAAAAAAAAAAAGTTTAAAAAATGAGAAAGATTAAAAAGGCAGAAAGGAATGTGTAATTCTGTCTCTGAGTGTGGCTTCTAGGTTTCTATAATAATTCTAACACTTCAATATTCTGATTATTCTATAATTCTAATACTCTGTGATGCTGCAGTCGTTTCTAGGACTCCCAGATTTTGTGCATCTAAGGTCCCATGCACTTACCCTCTGGACCAGCTCTGCAATTCCCATCCAGGATCCAGGCACCTGAGTTCAGCTGTCACCTGAGACTGGCCCTCCCCTACACATATTCTGGGTGCTCTCACCTGAGGGGGGGCCCACAGTTGACCAAGGAGATGGTCCTGCTGATGTAGGTGTCAGGTAGCAGCTCCCGGACTCCTGGGTTCTCGTGGAATCGCTCCACGCGCTGCTGGAAGCTGGTGGGAGGAGGAGGGAAGGGCTCAGGACAGATGGGGTAACAGCCTCTCACTGGGCCCTCCACCTACCAAAGCCTACATCCCTGCCCATCCTTACTTGATTTCACCTCTCCTCTCTCTGTTGGATCCCAGGTCCTGATCCCCCCACCATGCTCTACCTCTGCAGGAATTCTGCCAGCCCTCCCAGGCAGCAGTGGGCCATCCGCTCCCCGAATTCTTGGCTGATGCGGGGCGCTCTCTCTGTGTGCTCTTCCAGCAGCTGCATGGTGGTCCAGGGAGGTGAGAAAAGATGAGGAGAGGACGAGGTCCCACTTCCCCCCACCCCCACATTGTCCAGCTGATCCCTCCCTCTTCCCCACCCCTCACCTCGCACACATCCTGTGCCAGGCTGCTGGGCCGGTCTTCCAAGCTCCCCCAGTGTTCCTCATCCTCCTGCAGCACTCGAAGAAGGTCTGCCCGAGTCTGAGCCTGAAGTGGGGAAGTGGGAGACAGGCAGAAGTTGGGGGCGGCTTTCTCTCTCTCTTTCTCCCACCATAATCCCCTCGCCCTTAGCCCCAAGCAGTTCTGGAATTCTAAGCAGGCCCAAGTGATGCTGGGGAGACAGGCTGAACCAGAAAACCGTCCCCAGCCCCTTCCATCATTCCTAAATCTAGGGTTCAGAGCTTTATATTAAGAAACCGGTTTTCAGCTTCCTCCTTCTAATAGCCAAGGGGTTGAAGGGTCTATATTTCATTGCTTGATGGTTGTAAGACTCTGCTTTCAGGTTCTGCCAATTAGCTCAAGATTCTCAGATTCTGTGATTCAAGAATTCTGAAGATCTGGGATTTGAAGGTTTACATATCTCTGATTCTCTGGTTGAATATGTTGTCTTCAATTCAAAGAGTCTGAGGACCTAGACATGTTCAATTGTATGATTCTAGGCCCTCTAGTTGCAAGGATTCTGACTTCTGTGGATGGCAGCAGGACTGGCATTCGGATTGTTTGTGGCTGGGGCCATTCTGCTCCAGGGTGACCATGCCCAGCCAGTTTTTAACCATATTTACTATCAGCACTGTTATATGAAAAGATGCTTTAATGCCGTACTTCTGTGAGTCTTTGGGTCCATGAGCTGAGGTTCTGTGCCTTTCTCTTGCTCTAAGATTTGAAGTGTCTGGATGTATTGACACTTTGCCAAGTGTCTCTATGCCCCGGGGCTGGGTGCTTGGAATACAACATTGAACACAGACAAAAATGATCAGTATGGGCTTACATGTATATGACTTTTGGACAGAACTCAGAAGTTCACAAAGGGAAAAGGGAGATGGGAATAGTGAAAGGGGAAGGGGAGAGCCCTCCTATCCCACTATGACCCACTTCTCTCTATAAAATGTCTCCCACTTCTAAATTGCCAATGCCAAGTCCCAGGTACCTTAACATCTGTGACACATTCATCCTCCAAACCCTGTAGGGTGCCAGGGGACAGAAGTGGCCCCAGCTCCCCGCTCTCCAGGGCGACCATGTCCACCAGCCCTAGGACCTCTCTGGAGAAAGGAAAGGAAGAGAGAGGGAGGTCCGTAAGAGGTGGAGCTGGGCAATTGGACCCATCCCTATGTCTTCACACCCACTGCGTTTGTGACCCTGGGCCACTTCCTTCCTCTCTCTGGGCCAGCTTTGCTCATCTCTCAGAGGAAATCTTTGGAGTTTCTGCTTCCCTGGCTCCAGCTCTCTGAGTCAGCTCTCTGATGGATAGTGTCCGGGCAAGATTTGTAGAGGTCAAGTCCAGGCTTGATGATCTGACACGCAAGGCCTCACCCATGATCGGCTTCACCAGACAGAAACTCCCTTCCACCTCTGCTCCTAGAACCTGCCACCTCACCTGGCCTTGGAGGCCTCCCTGTCCAGCCCTCACTCCCCTTCTACTCCCTTGCATGCCCCAGGCTGTGCAATATCATCACTGCCCACCCCCACTCCCTACCACCCCTCCGCACACCAGACTTTGGTTTATGGCATCCTCTCGATCAGAAATGCCATCTCCCTGCAAATTGGACTTAACCCATGTCCTATGGCTCCAGGAAGCTTTCCAGACTTCCTATCCTGCCTCCATATCTCACAGGTGGCAAGAGAGTGTCATTGACATGTACTCGTATTCCCAAGTGGGATCTCTGTGGTTGATGCTGGCAACTGTTGTCTTCCCATTCTTTTGGTGACAGCGTCCTGATTTTGTTGAAGAAACCACCCACCCCCTCTACTGTCCAACTTGTGGTTTGGGTGTGGCTAACTCCCTTTTTCCTGGAGTGGATAGTGATCCAGTCATAGCTAATCACCATATTCTGTTCCCTGCCCCCACCCTGCCATAAGAATGGGTATGTTTTAGGATTCAAAAGCTCAACAGTTATAAGATTCTAGGACTGGGAGGGTCAATGGTGCTGAGGTTCTGGATACTACAGTTATAGAATTACGGGACCGACAGCGCTAAAGTCCTAAAACTGGAAAGGTAACAGTGTCAACGATCTAGGATCCAAAGAGGGGATGAGGTTAAGGTTTGGGACTCAAAGCCTCATTGGTTTTAAGGTTCTAGGTTTGAAAGAGTCATAAATTCTAAAGTTTTAAGATTGGAAGAGTCAACAGTACTAATGCTCTAGTATCTAAAGAGAGAGAAATGTAAGGATTCTAGAATTTTTTTTTTTTTTTTTT